GGAGATACTCCAGGGTTACTCCAGGGTTACACCAGGGTCACTCCATGGCTACTCCTCGGACACGCCGGAGGTGACTCCGGGCCTGCTCTGGAGTTACTCCGGGGATACTCCTGCCGTTAAATACACCAGGGATACTCCGGGTTTACTCAGCCCATCCCCCCAGAGTCCTCCTGGCTTTACTCATTAATTACACCGGGGATACTCCAGGCTTACACCGGGGATACTCCGGGCTTACACCGGGGATACTCTGGGCTTACACTGGGGATACTCCGGGCTTACACCAGGATGCTCCAGCCATGCAAACACCGGCGCTACTCCAGCCTTACTCCCAGCATGCACTGCAGGGATACTCCGGGGATACTCCGGGGATACTCTGCCAAAACACCCCCAGGCGAGGAGGGAGGGAGGGAGGGGGGAGGAGGGCTCAAGGTGTAAACTACTCCAGAGTTACACACAGGGCGGCACCGGGGACCTACTCCAGCTTTACACCGCGGCTACTCAGCAGAGCCAGCTCAGCGCCAAGCCACGCCCCCCGCCCCCGCGCGCCTCCCGCCTGCACGCTCTCCGCTCCGAGCTTACTCGGGCTTTACTCTGCCTTTACGCTGACCTCACTCTGCCTTTACTTGGACTTTACTCACCATTTACTCAGACTTTATTCTGCCTTTTCGCTGGCTTTACTCGGACTTTACTCCAAATTTACTCGGACTTTACTCTGCCTTTGAGTGCACTTTACTTGGACTTTAGTCCACCTTTATGCAGACTTTACTCCAAGTTTACTCTGAATTTACTCAGACTTTACTTGGACTTTACTCTGGACTTTACGCTGACTTTACTCGAACTTTAGTCCAAATTCAGTCGGACTCTATTCCGCCTCTACGTGGACTTTACTCCGAATTTACTCAGACTTTACCCCGATCTTACTGCAACTTTATTCTGGCTTTACTCCACCTTTACCCCGACCTTTCTCCAACTTTACTATAACTTTACTTGGACTTTACTCCAACTTTATCACGACTTTACTCCAACTTTAGTATGACTTTACTACTTCTTTAATCCATCTTTACTATGATTTTAGTATGACTTTACTATGACTTTACTCCAACGTTACGCCAACTTCACCATGACTTTACCTGGACTTTACCTCAACCTTACTCCAACTTTACGCTGATATTACTACTATTTTACTCCGACTTTACTCTGACTTAATATGATATTACTACTACTTTACTCTGATTTTACTCTGACTTTACTATGTTATTGCTACTACTTTACTCCGACTTTACTCTGAATTTATTCTGATATTACTCCAACTTTACTATGACATTACTTGGCCTTTACTCCAACTTTACTCCTACTTTACTCTGATTTACTATATTACTATTTTACTCTGACTTTACTATGATATTACTACTACTTTACTCTGACTTTACCCCGACTTTACTGTGATATTACTACTACTTTACGCCAACTTTACTTGGCCTTTACTCCAACTTTACTATTACTTTACTCCGACTTTCCTATGACTTTGCTACGCCATTATTCTGACTTCCCTACGACTTTGCTACGCCATTACTCTGACTTTACTACGACTTTGCTATGACTTTGCTACGCCATTACTCTGACTTTACTCCAACTTTACTCCAACTTTGCTACACCATTACTCTGACTTTACTCCGACTTTGCTACGCCATTACTCTGACTTTACTCCAACTTTACTATTACTTTACTCTGACTCTCCTACGACTTTGCTACGCCATTTCTCTGACTTTACTCCAACTTTACTCTGACTTTACTCCAACTCTCCTACGACTTTGTTACGCCGTTTCTCCGACTTTATTCCGACTTTCCTATGACTTTGCTATACCATTACTCTGACTTTACTCTGACTTTCCTACGACTTTGCTACGCCATTACTCTGACTTTACTCCAACTTTACTCTGCCTTTACTCCAACTTTACTATTCCTTTACTCCGACTTTCCTATGACTTTGCTATGCTATTACTCTGACTTTACTCCAACTCTCCTATGAATTTGTTACGCCGTTTCTCCGACTTTATTCCGACTTTCCTACGACTTTGCTACGCCATTACTCTGACTTTATTCCAACTTTGCTCTGACTTTACTCCGACTTTACTATTACTTTACTCCGACTTTTCTACGACTTTGCTACGCCGTTACTCTGACTTTACTCCAACTTTACTATTACTTTACTCCAACTCTCCTAACACTTTGCTATGCCGTTACTCCGACTTCGCTCCGACTCTCCTACGACCCTGCCATTACCCAACTTTGCTACGCCGTTACTCCTACTTCGCTCCGACTCTCCTACGACCCTGCCATTACCACGACTTTACTCCGACCTTACTCCGACTTTGCTATGCCATTACTCTGACTTTACTCCGACTCTCCTACGACCCTGCCATTACCACGACTCTACTCCGACTCTACTCCGACTCTACTCCGACCTTCCTCCGACTTTCCTCCTCCGCGCCGGCCGGCGGCCCCGCCCCCCGCGCGGCGGCTCCGCCCCCCCGGAAGCGCACGCAGAGCAAGGAGACACCGGGAGGCGGCGTTGGAGCAAACCCCTCTTTAATGGCGCGGAGGCGCGTACAGAGCAGCGAGCGAGGCGGGCGCTACACGGGGCGCCCGCGCCGGGCGCGCCGGCCCTGCCGCCTCTTACCCTTGTGCAGCACGGCGTTGGCCGGCTTGTTGCCCGCCAGCGACTCCTTGGACAAGTGCTGGTGGCTCTCAGCCAGGCACTCGACCTCGGCGAAGCGCGTGTTCAGGGCCATGGCGGGGTGGCTGGGGTCCTGCGTCATGTTCAGGTAGGCGGCGCGGCGCAGCTGCTCCTCGATCACCAGCGCCTGCTCCAGCAGCTGCGGGGGACGCAGGGGTCAGGGGGGTCCGGGGGTGGTGGGGTCAGCCCTGCCTTCACCAACAGCTGGAGGGTTCAGGGGTTGGTGGGGTCAGCCCTGCCTTCACCAACAGCTGGAGGGTTCAGGTGGTTTTGGGATCAGGTGTGGGGAAACCCAACATCTGGAGGGTTCAGGTATTTGTGGGTCTAATCCTGACTCCATCAACAGCTGGAGGGCCCAGGTGTTGGTGGGTCCAGCCCTGACCTCATCAACATCTGGATGACCCAGATGTCCAGGTGTCCAACCCCGATGTCACCCAACAGCTGCAGCCCCCCCCCAGGTGTCCCAGCACCCCCGGCCCCCTTCCCGCTCATCCCAGCCCCTCGTGCAAGGCCACCCCCGTGCCACCACCCCTGCCACCCCCGTGTCACCCTCACTGCCACCTCAGTGCCACCACCCCTGCCACCTCCATGCCACCACCCCTGTCACCCCAGTGCCACCATCCCTGTCACCCCCATGTCACCCTCACTGCCACCCCAGTGCCACCACCCCTGCCACCCCAGTGCCACCCTCACTGTCACCCCCATGCCACCCAGTGCCACCATCCCTGTCACCCCTGTGTCACCATCCCTGCCACCCCAGTGCCACCCTCCCTGTCACGCCAGTGCCACCATCCCTGTCACCCCAGTGCCACCCTCCCTGCCACCCCCGTGCCACCACCCCTGCCTGCCAATGCCACCCTCACTGTCACCCCAGTGCTACTCTGTCACCCCGGTGCCACCACCCCTGTCACCCCAGTGCCACCATCCCTGTCATGCCAGTGCCACCCTCACTGTCACCCCAGTGCCACTCTGTCACCCCGGTGCCACCATCGCTGTCAGCCCTGTGCCACCCTCGTGCCACCCTGTCACCCCCATGCCACCCAGAGCCACCATCCCTGCCACGCCAGTGCCACCACCCCGTCATGCCAGTGCCACCCTCGCTGTCAGCCCTGTGCCACCCCAGTGCCACCCTGTCACCCCAGTGCCACCCTTGCTGTCACCCCCATGCCACCCCGGTGCCACCCTCGCTATCACCCCCAGGCCACCCCAGTGCCACCCTCGCTGTCACCCCGGTGCCACCCTCGCTGTCACCCCCATGCCACCCCGGTGCCACCCTCGCTGTCACCCCCATGCCACTCCGGTGCCACCCTCGCTGTCACCCCCATGCCACCCCGGTGCCACCCTCGCTGTCACCCCGGTGCCACCCGGTGCCACCCCGGTGCCACCTTCGCTGTCACCCCCATGCCACCCCGGTGCCACCCTCGCTGTCACCCCGGTGCCACCCCGTGCCACCCGGTGCCAGCCGGCGCCGCGGCGGGGCTGACCTTGAAGCGGCGCGCCAGGAACTTGTTCTTCATCTCCAGGAAGTTCCCCTTGGAGGCCTCGCCCTTGAAGGGCTCGTTGATGACCCCGAAGGCGCCGTCGTTCTGGATGTCGGTCCAGCGCGCGTAGCCGTGGCTGCGCGCTAAGGAGCCACTGCCACCGTGTCACTGTGTCACCTGTCACTGTGTCACCGTGTCACCTATCACCGTGTCATTGTGTCACCTGTCACCAGTCACCGTGTCACTGGGTCACCTGTGTCACCTGTCACTGTGTCACTGTGTCACCGTGTCACTGTGTCACCTGTCACTGTGTCACCGTGTCCCCTATCACCGTGTCATTGTGTCACCTGTCACCAGTCCCCGTGTCACTGTGTCACCTGTGTCACCTGTCACTGTGTCACTGTGTCACCGTGTCACTGTGTCACCTGTCACTGTGTCACCGTGTCCCCTATCACCGTGTCATTGTGTCACCTGTCACCAGTCCCCGTGTCACTGTGTCACCTGTGTCACCTGTCACTGTGTCACTGTGTCACCGTGTCACTGTGTCACCTGTCACTGTGTCACCTGTCACCTGTCACTGCATCATCGCATCTCCCTGACCCCAACATCCCCGGAGCCGTGGCTGCGCGCTAAGGAGCCACTGCCACCGTGTCACCCCGTCACCTGTCACCGTGTCATTGTCACCTGTCACCGTGTCACTGTGTCACTGTGTCACCGTGTCACTGTGTCACTGTGTCACCGTGTCACTGTGTCACTGTGTCACCGTGTCACTGTGTCACTGTGTCACCGTGTCACTGTGTCACTGTGTCACCGTGTCACTGTGTCACTGTGTCACCGTGTCACTGTGTCACTGTGTCACCGTGTCACTGTGTCACTGTGTCACCGTGTCACTGTGTCACTGTGTCACCGTGTCACTGTGTCACTGTGTCACCGTGTCACTGTGTCACTGTGTCACCGTGTCACTGTGTCACTGTGTCACCGTGTCACTGTGTCACTGTGTCACCGTGTCACTGTGTCACTGTGTCACCGTGTCACTGTGTCACTGTGTCACCGTGTCACTGTGTCACTGTGTCACCGTGTCACTGTGTCACTGTGTCACCGTGTCACTGTGTCACTGTGTCACCGTGTCACTGTGTCACTGTGTCACCGTGTCACTGTGTCACTGTGTCACCGTGTCACTGTGTCACTGTGTCACCGTGTCACTGTGTCACTGTGTCACCGTGTCACTGTGTCACTGTGTCACCGTGTCACTGTGTCACTGTGTCACCGTGTCACTGTGTCACTGTGTCACCGTGTCACTGTGTCACTGTGTCACCGTGTCACTGTGTCACTGTGTCACCGTGTCACTGTGTCACTGTGTCACCGTGTCACTGTGTCACTGTGTCACCGTGTCACTGTGTCACTGTGTCACCGTGTCACTGTGTCACTGTGTCACCGTGTCACTGTGTCACTGTGTCACCGTGTCACTGTGTCACTGTGTCACCGTGTCACTGTGTCACTGTGTCACCGTGTCACTGTGTCACTGTGTCACCGTGTCACTGTGTCACTGTGTCACCGTGTCACTGTGTCACTGTGTCACCGTGTCACTGTGTCACTGTGTCACCGTGTCACTGTGTCACTGTGTCACCGTGTCACTGTGTCACTGTGTCACCGTGTCACTGTGTCACTGTGTCACCGTGTCACTGTGTCACTGTGTCACCGTGTCACTGTGTCACCGTGTCACTGTGTCACCTGTGTCACCTGTCACTGTGTCAACTGTGTCACCATGTCACCGTGTCACTGTGCCACCTGTGTCACCTGTCACCGTGTCACTGTGTCACTGTGTCACCTGTCACTGCATCATCACATCTCCCTGACCCCAACATCCCCGGAGCCGTGGCTGCGCGCTAAGGAGCCACTGCCACCGTGTCACCGCGTCCCCTGTCACCATGTCACCGTGTCACTGTGCCACCTGTGTCCCCTGTCACCGTGTCACTGTGTCACTGTGTCACCTGTCACTGCATCATCACATCTCCCTGACCCCAACATCCCCGGAGCCGTGGCTGCGCGCTAAGGAGCCACTGCCACCGTGTCACCGCATCACCTGTCACCTGTCACCGTTTCAGCTGTCACCGTGTCACTGTGTCACCTGTCACCTGTCACTGCATCATCACATCTCCCTGACCCCAACATCCCCGGAGGCGTGGCTGCGCGCTAAGGAGCCACTGCCACCGTGTCACTGTGTCACCTGTCACCGTGTCACCTGTCACCGTGTCACTGTGTCACCTGTCACCATGTCACTGTCACCTGTCACTGTCACCGTGTCACTGTGTCACCCTGTCACTGTGTTTGCCTCTCCCTGTCTCCAGTGTCCCCATATCCAACACACCAAGCATGGATGCCACCCTCTCCTGGCTGTCACCCTCACTTTGTCACCCTCTCATGGCTGTCACCGTCACTGTGCTGTCACCCTCACCGTGGTGTCACTGTCCCCCCCCCCGGAACACCCCAGTTCCCCCAGTGACACCCCAGTTCCCATGGTGACACCCCAGATGGTTCCCAAGGATACAGGACGATGCCGGCCAGTAGCCAGGCACCAGTGTCACCTTTACCATGCTGTCACTGTGCTGTCACCCTCACCATGTCACCCTCACTGTGGTGTCACTGTCCCCAGCCCGAGGACACCCCAGTTCCCATGGTGACACCGCGGCTGGTTCCCAAGGATACAGGACGATGCCGGCCAGGCACCAGTGTCACCAGTGTCACCTTTACAATGCTGTCACCGTCACTGTGCTGTCACCGTCACTGTGCTGTCACCATCACCATGTCACCCTGACCACGGTGTCACTGTCCCCCCGCCGAGGACACCCCGGTTTGTTCCCAAGGATACAGGACGATGCCGGCCAGCAGCCAGCCACCAGTGTCACCAGTGCCACCTTTTACCATGCTGTCACTGTGCTGTCACCCTCACCATGTCACCCTGACCACGGTGTCACTGTCCCCCCCCCGGGGACACCCCGGTTTGTTCCCAAGGATACAGGACGATGCCGGCCAGCAGCCAGTAGTCGTGGCGCCGGTGCCAGATCTCGTTGAGCTTCCCCGAGGAGATGGCGGCGCGCTCCTCGTTCTGCCACAGCGTGTGCAGCTCTGGGGGGGCAGCGGGTCACAGGCTGTCCCCTGGCTGTCCCCTGGCTGTCCCCAGGCTGTCCCGGAGTCCCCGGGGTCCCCAGGCTGTCCCCGGAGTCCCCAGGCTGTCCCCAGGCTGTCCC